TAGGTACTTCATGAACTAAATAATAGAACTTCAACACACAATTAAATGCCGCTGCATTAGCCAGGCACTTTACTTTGTTTAATATCGTCGATAGGGATTAATTTTCCGTGCGAATATATGAACCGAAATTCAGACAACGTAATTCCCCCATTTGAAAATATCCAAAATACCATTTGGGATCTAATTAATTTATTCTGCAGCACGACAGTTATTTTGGTAATTGAATGCAGGGATAAAGGATTATAATGGCGACAGAATTGGTGAGTGCATCTATTCTAATATACATTGATTGAAATGGAGAATATTCGTTTTCTAGAAGTGTGGGACAATCTACTGTATCTAATGTTAACTTTGCTAGTGTGCCAGTGTGGGTGGTGCTCTAAATATGTATGAAGTAAAATATAGGTTTTATAATTTTCATTTGTGTCTTAATGGGGGGGGGGGGAGGGGTTAGTAAATCGTAAGAGAAACAGAAAATTCAATTAACAAAATAATATACACTGGATCTTACAAGACCAAGCGACATTGTCGCCGTCCAAGTCCGAGCCTTTGGATTATGTGGAAATGTACGATTGGACCGTTAATGGGCCTTAATAGTTTAGCCTAGTATTTATTGTAGGTCGGATTGGTATGCCACGGTAGACACTTGAAATGATGATAGGCCAAAATCTGGCAATTTACCAAAAGTCAAACTTAAGTCTAAGACATGGTTGTCCAAAGCTCTTAGCCCTATTGCGATTGATATCGGTAGTCCTATGTAGGACATGTCGAAAAGGCTTATGTAGGAAATGTAGATTGGGTCTATGTAGAAAATATAGATTGGTTCTATATAGGAAAGGTAGATTGGGTCCATAAGGAGAGAGGGCATTATAGGCCAATTGTAATGTTATTATAGGAACCAGATCATAGACAGATAGAAATGATAATCGAAGAAGAAGAAACTTTCTACTAGGAATATCTTCCTTCTAGGATAAAGTCTCTCTCTTTCCTCTTCTTTTTCTTAAGGTACCTTATCCAATGAATGTTCGGGACAACTCTGGCATATTCGTTTCGATCTTGAGTGGCTCTGAAAAGTGCATGGGCATCGAGGTTTGTTCAGTCTCTTATGTTCTTTAGCCACGAATATTTCTTCCTCCCGATGCCTCTCTCCTCCCTCGATCCTTGCCTCCATCAGCAGCTTTAGAAATTATAACTCGGAATTTCTGATGATATATCTCAGGTATGCAGTTTTCCTTCTCTCCACTATCTGTAACAACTCTCTGCCTCTCTTTCTATTCTTTTCAGAACTTCTTCGTTCGGCTTCATCCATAAAATTTTTAGCATTCCTCTGAATACTCACGTTTCCAAGGATTCCAGTCGGTTCATGTCACTGGCCTTTTTTGCCCGGGTCTCCACTCCGTACAGTAGTTGTATTTTACAAGATGGTACCTTAATATCAAGTTAAAAGTGTTGTTACTGAGAAGAGCTCTCATATTTATGAATTTTGCCATGGCTTGCTAAATTCTGTCTCATATTTCTACGTCTGCATCTAGATCGTTAGTTATCAAGCTTCCCAGGTATCTAAACTTTGCTACTTGCTGGATTTTCCAGCGATTCACTGTGATATTCAAGTGCACACTTGATGTTCTGCTAATCACCATAGGTCTGTTTTCACGGGAGTCACAAACCAGTCAGAGCGAATTTCATTGGTTGACAATAGTCAGGAAACTGGTTGTTGGCGATTTGGACCAATCAAAAACACTCTGACTGGTTTGTTATGTCTGTGGAAACAGACCTCATCACTCTCGTTTTGTTTATCTTCATCTTTAGGCCGAGTCGTTCGCCTCCGAAACCTATTTAAGCAATTTTATCAACAAGACGTTGTAATGCTTCCAGGCGATCTGGTATTGTGACTGTATCATCAGCGTAACGTATACTGTTGACAACCTGTCAAATAATTTTGATGCCGTCATCTGCGTCCTTCAAGACAGAATAGAGATATTTTCTCTATCCCTATTGACGTCCCGTATCTATTGATTTTGAGAAGAGAAAAGAAGACAGCAATTGCCATAGCGATAGGGATAACGATTTCTATCCGTTACAGAGTTCCAGCCCAGTATACCCTTAGTTGACCCATTCATTTCTCTGCGCACTGATGAAGGTACTTTGCTGTCGTTGGAGGAGCAGAATGAGTTAAACAATTTATCAGAAGAGCATTTCAATTTCAGCGGTACACCTACCAATTTTGAAATACTCCACATAAAAACCTTGCCGGGAACTCTTCCAATTTCTTTACCACCTTACCAACTAAGCAAAACCAAACGGGATATTTTACATAATCGAGAAGTCTGAGAGCCCATAGGGCACTTCTGCTGTCATGGTACCGGAGCCCAATGACAAAATGAGAGTTTGTGTAGATTACCAAAACCTTAATAGTGTAACGATTAGCGATAAATACCCTATGCGACGAATTGACGATATGCTCCAAGGAACCAAGCAAACAAGATACATGTCAACAATAGATTTGCAATCTGGATATTGGTAAATATCAGTACCTGAAGAGGATTGCGCTAAGGCAGCCTTTATCACACCTTTCGGTTTGTTCAGATTTAAAGGAATGCCATTCGGGCTGAAGACCGCTCCGGCCGTATTTCAAAGGCTGATAGATAAATTCAAATGCGGCCTTTTTTGGATGACCTGCTGGTATTACCTAAATCGTTTCAGGAACACGTTGTTGATTTGAGAGGCTCCTAAAGTTCAGGCTGAGAGCCAATTGGAAGAAATGTACTTTTGCCGCTACTAATATCAAGTATCTTGGACACGTTCTAACAGTTGACGACATTCTCACGGATCCTGAGAAGATTTCAGCTATTAAAAATCTTTCCAGTCCAAGAAACCTAAAGGAACTGCGCACCTTCATTCAAACCCGTTCCTGGTATCGCAAGTTTGTACCAAATTTCTCGGAAATTGCTAAACGCCCAACAGATCTAACTCGGAAACATTCAAAATGGATCTGGAATGAACCCGAACAAGAGGCTTTTCGCTTTCTCAAGCAAGCATTGACTACTACCCCAGTCCTTAGACAAGCAGACGAGAAACTACCATTTATTATTCGCACAAATGCTAGCGACTATGCAATCGGAGCAGCTTTACTCCAGGGGGAGTCTGATGATGAGAGACCCATTGAGTACGCTAGCTGTCTCCTCAACTCAGCGTAGATGAACTACACAACCACTGAATGACATTGGCATTGGCTGTGGTTTGGGCAGTCAAGCGATTCCGTACTGGTTAAAAGTGACCATCAACCCTTGAAATGGCTTTTATCAATAAAGTCCCCAAGATTTCGAAAATTTTTCGGAACCCAGTCGTTGGAGTGAAAGAGGCTATCTTATGGAAAAAGGGGTATTATAACGATAATCCCCGGAAAGGGATACAGAGGAAGCCCAGTTGGTAATTCCCATAAGCAAACGATCACTGATACTAAAAGAGTATCATGATTCTGATACAGCATGTCATGACGGAATTAATCGGACTGTAGCGAGACTACGAGCCAGGTATTACTGGCCAGGTATGCGGAAATATATTTCAGAATTCAATCAAGGGATGCGTAGAATGTCAAAAATTCAAACCTACCAACTTGAAGCCAGCTGGATTACTACAGACCCCGATACAATAATCACCCGATACAATAGTCTTTTGAGTCATGTCCAAAGTTGAAAACACGTTATATTTTGCAATGGATTTTCGTAGGATATAATAGCTTCTTTCTGAGACAATCCTGCGCCTTTATTACGGAAGCCACGAGACTTGCTAAATGGAGTACCACAGTACAGTGTGTCCTCTGAATAGTAGTTTAGTTTAGGATAAGTCGCTTTGTCAATGGATCTTTTTGAATTTATGACAATAAAGCTTTTTTTGATTTGATTTGAGCTTAGGGGTGCCCGCAAAAAAGAGTACTCTCTCCTCTTCTGTGGTCTCCCTTGGTGGATAACCTGCTGGCCATAATCCAACTGTGGGAGATCGACCTGTACGCTTACGCAGACGACAAGCCATTGTATTAGGGGAAAAATCAGAACGCAGACTATCCGAAACCCCTTCAGGAAATAATAGACTCAATACTTGCATGGTGCAAGAGTGAGAATATTGTCACAACCCCTATACGTTTCGTCTTGGGACGTCACAACAGGAGCGTAACCTGGGGGCGTAGGTGGAGGTGGTACTTCGAAGTGATAGCCGTCGACTACTTCGGACCTCTGCCTGAGATAGAACGTGGAAACCGTTGGATATTGATCGTAGAAGATGTGGCTTCCAAATGGGTTGAATTCTTTGCTTTGCCAGATGTAACTGCAGTAGCAACCGTAAAAACTCTCATAGAAGAAATATTTTTCAGATTTGGTGACATCCGACAATGGAGTTCAATTTGTCAGTGAAAAAGATTACAACATGTATGTACAGCATTAAAAATTGATCAAAAGCTCATCAAGATGCACCCTATCTCATGCTGCGGGTACATGCTACATCCACCCATAACTTACGAAATTAAAAATCAGTCTATGCCCAAAGAGTCTATTGGTAAATATTATGTTACTGATTTGGAACCTTACCACCAACGGAAAAATGAGAAGCTCCCCACGCCTATGAGACCAGGCTAGGAAGCACGATAGACCTAAGAAGTGTGAAAATTAATGTCTTTCTACTTCACATAAGAGGCCATTTATGTGAAGTAGATGGGGAGTGTAACAAAACTTATGGACTGACTTATATGAGATTTCCTGATATAAGTGCGCCAGTAGTCATTTAGGAAAAGTCGACCCACCATCAGAAAAATCACACCGACACAGTGACACACAAGTATTTGAATTAACACGTTTCATTTTATTGTAGCTTTCCTACCTATGTATTTTCGAACTCCTTGGATGGCAATATCCAATGGTTTGTATATCTAGAACTAAAGAATTTTCCAATATCTTGCGACACCACTGGTTAGCAAATATTTTATGTAGGAAAAAGAAAACACAGAGTCTTTCTCCAAATTATGTAAATATATTTGTTTTCCACTTTACGTCGACAATAATATAAGAAACACATCTTCAAAACAAAAAATATTTCAAGAAACACAGGTCCTGAGTCAACGAAGAAAATAATTCATGTCAATGTGATAGTGCAGAGAAGCTAAATTGGTAAAAACAATAATAGTTATTTATTGTATAAGTGTTTTAGGAAGCATTTTACCCACGCAAAATAAAATGCAACTAAAACACGAATGTTTTATCCACAATCACACGTACATATACATGGCGGATGGAAAAGCTCCTCTGTTGCTGAAAGTTATATCGAGGATTCCATTTCCAATAAGCTTAGTATTGCAAACAAAATTCAAGGGGAAAATGCCCCTTACAAGAGGAGACACCTTATATTCCTGTTCCTGTTATAGGAGACAAATCGAACAACGGAGTATCTATTAATATAAATGTTAATGTTAATATCAATAAATAAAATAAAAATTTCGTATTTCTTGATTTCATTATTCCACTAGTGGAATAAAGTTATTTTATTCCACTAGTGGATAAAGTATCACTTTAGACGCTTCATATGAGTGGATAAAACTGCCATTATTTGATGATTGTGGATAAAAAAAATTAAACTTAACTAGCGTAATTGAACCCAACACCAACTTGATAAAAAGAAGTTATACAATACAAAGCAGGATGATGAGAAGTTCCTATTTATGTTAAATTTCGATGAAAACAGCTATTTTGCTTCAAGCCCCAACTTTTATAATCCCATTAAATAGTGATAGCAATGGACATAACGGCAGTAAAACTCTACTATTATAATGAATAACGTTCCTATCTATTTTCCAATAATATATTCATTCAGCCCTCCCAAAGTTCCATTTGGATCAAGTCGAAAACAAAAATAGATTTGAAAGTTTTTACCTTTATTACAACACATTATCGGTCTTGTAGAAAAACTCTTGCTTCTTTGCTCGCTAATGGTTAAACTTAAACGAGCCGAATCATTTATTAAGCTTATCTAAGTCTAAAAGAAAGCCGTATCCTCCGAAAAAGCTCCCACTAATCTAAATTCCGCCTTTCCCAAGACGGCCCGTAAGAACTGAGGCGACTTAGCGGAATATAAACTAGGCCTAACGCAGTTCGCCCTCAATACGAACTCCTTCTGGACCGCAACCGGAAAAATTACGTCGGGACTTTTAGGTAAATCCTGATGGTCATTAGGCGAGACGCTGCTGCTGTGCAGCCGCTGGGATTCGGTAAACATAGAGACAATCCTCGATCCAATTAAGGATTGCTCTTTGTTCTCTATTTTGATAGGTTTGCCATGGGCCAGGTCACCTGAAAACAAAATTACGATTGCAGCGACTAGAAACATACAGTGCAATTTAATTATAGTTTGGTAGATGAGTAGGGCAAATACAATAGAGCTTATATGTTTTCGTTGTTAGGACAACATAGTAGCTAGTTTAAACAACAAATTGACGTTTCTGGTTCATCAGTTTGATACACGATGATTTGAATGAATTTAAGCCATTTTCAAATGTCTGATTTTCTTAATAAAGGGCTTTATGTAGGATCGGGTTTTAATCGTTGAAACTCGTTAACGAAAATAATAAGGATGAAACAAAAATTGTATAGTGTATTCGTAATGTTGGCATAACTTTTCAATAAATAATTTTGTTTGTGTTCCTCTTTTGACTGAGGTACTGACAAATACACTGTCTTTTATTGCTTATTTCCGACTTGCGGTAAATAATATTTGATAATGGGTATTCAATGCTCGTAGCTTTTCTGTTGGTTGCCTTGATGCTATCATCCCTATGATAACATAATCCCAATATCTTTGTCAACAACTTCTCTTCCACTGTACCGAAATTCATTCTTGTAATTTTTTCATCTTCTGATTTCTTCATTAGTTGTTCTCTGTTTTCTGGATATTCCCGCACTTTATCTAATAGCCTTTGAAATACGGCCGGAGCGTTCTTCAGCCCGAATGGCATTCTTTTAAATATAAACAAACCGAAACGTGTTGTAAAGGCTGGATTCTATCCGTTGTTACAACGCACTAACCGTTCATTCCAATTGTGTATTTAGAATTTTCCACGTTCTTGACCACGATCTCATAATCTATTTATACACTTCAAACTCTGCTTCTGAGCTGACCAGCAGATACTTCGTTTAATTGAAACTGACTGCTAAACATATATTCTTCTACTCTAAATTCTAGGTTTAGTGGATCTTGGTCTAGGACGACCTAATCATCAGCAAAGCTCAAAGTGAATAAGAGCCCGTGTCCTCACAATTCATTTATTCTTTGAGTGCTATTTCGATGACATTGAGCAAGCTTCTACAGTAGACCATTTGGTTCACCCCCCTTTGTTTCAAATGTTCGTTTCTTCATTGATAATCTCAAAATTATACAAACTTTTTAGTCGTCAGCTGTTGTCATTTTTCTCTGATTATATTGTCGTGCGCAATTTTTGGTAAGATTTAAAATAGGCGACAATAAAGAGGAAAAATCAGGAACAAATCGACGATACCAGGAGGCGGTTCCTATAAGACGACGGACTTCATTAATATTTTGAGGCGGAGGAAGATTGACAATGACCGCTACTTTTTCTGGATCAGGACGAAGACCCTTACTATCAACCAAATAACCCAAATATTTCAACTCTGGTTAACAAAAAATTACATTTCTCAATGGAGACGACGAGACCAGCCTCGCGGAGTCTATCAAAGACAATCCCTAAGAGTTTAAGATGATCCGAAAAGGAGTTGGAAAGGATCACGATATCATCCAGATATACCATAACATTTGGCTCGAATTCAGGGCCTAAAATAGTGTCAACTATACGTTGCCAGGTTGCAGGGGCGTTAGATAAACCAAAAGGCATCCTCCTAAACTGGAACAAACCTCTTCCAAGGACAATTAAAGCTGTATACTCACGAGAATTTTCGGCTAAAGGGACTTGCCAGAAAGCTGATTTAATATAAATCGAGCTGATGTATCGAGTGTTACGTAAATTGTTCAAAATAGAAGATATGTAGGGAATTTGATAGGCATCTTTTTTCGTTTGAAGATTGAGTTTACGAAAATCAATACAGAATCTAAATTTCCCATCCTTTTTCCTAACTAAGCACACACGGCTTGACCAAGGGCTCAATGACACCAAGTGGCAACATTTCCTCGACTTCATCATCTATAATTTGTTATTAATATAGGGAAACGGTGTAGTATAGTCTTTTTAATACCTATTTAGAAGTACCAGTCATTCTAGTGACAAAACGTATGTCGCTTCTTGACACACAAATAAATTTTGGTTAGGAATTTCCTATTTGTACATGAAATTGACGTATTAGCAATCGACGTTCGTTTTTGTTGGTAATTTTTTGTTTCATCTGATCTGATTCGTGATTGATAAATAAGGATGAGGTTATTCTAAATGGGTATTACAAATACTATACCTTTGTTTGATTGGTCTTGCACCAGGTTCAAGAATGATATCATGTTCGGCGACTTTACAGTATCCCAAGCCAGAATCTATTTGTGAAATCTTGTCTTTGACCAAGGCGCTTAAAGCTTGTCGCTCTGAAGGATTCAAGTGTTCGATAACTTGAACGTTGCAAACTTCTGCCAGTTCCTGGGCTCCGGAAAAATGACAAACATTCTGACCCATATCCCGATTTCCATCGGTTTCCAAAAATCTATACCCAATATCAGCTTGTGGGAAAGCTCAGGAAGTACTAAAACATCAAGGATTTTTGTTTTGTCAATCAAAGTTATGGGAGCCTGAATTTAACCAATAGTATCACATACTTAGCCATTAGCTACAGTACACGGATTATGTTGCTTAATGAGTTTGAACCCAAGACTTAAAAGAACTTCGTAACCAGGTAATCCGACAAGAGTTCTACTAGCACCAGAGTCTAAAAATCCAAGCAAAGAAAATCCCATAATTTGAACTTCAAGGTCAGGACGTTGGTCTCCATGAGCATGCGAAATAATGTAGTCTAGAAGAATTTTATTGGGAAAGACTGAAGCATTGGTCGTTATACTAAAAGCATTGGAGGATATAGCACGACCTAACGATTCCTCCGAGGCTCGTTTCCCGAACACTTATTACAGTTTCTGACTGTCACACCTGGGTTACCATATCGATAGCAATGTGTCCTTCGAAGTTCTGTACAATTGCGACTTAATTTACTACTTTTTTGACAATTCCAGCATTTGAAATTTACTTGACTAGAATCCTGTTGTAGTGAAATTTCATCAACAGGGTATGTCAGGGTACTTAGAATCAGTGCTAGAAGAAGGTTCATTGACTGCCAAAAATGCGAAGTCGGATTCAACAAACTGTTGACGCTTCCTAGAAGGTGGAACGTAATGCTCAACCCGATACTTTTTAGTCTTCAACTTAAGACACTCTTGCTCAAGTTCTTCAAGGGAAGTAACCACTGGAAGCTGGGTGGTGTAAAAGGGTGACAAGTTACGAGATAGAATATCCAACTGTGTTTCCGGGATCAATCCATCATAACGCCTAAACAAAGCTTGCATGCAGGAGAGATAATCCACAATGCTTTTCGAGGTATCCTGAGTTCGCTCCAAAATTTCCCCAAAAAGTCTAGGACGGTAATCGGGTGGTTCGAAGTGACGACGAAGCAACTTACACAAGGTTTTTCAACTATCGAATCTGTCACGGTTTGCTCTATACCAATTGAGAGCTTTGCCTGAAAATAAGTCTATGGCAGAATCAAAAAGTTGGTTTCTGTGACATGACGGGATTTACCAACTGAATTCAGCCACTATCTCCAAGAAATTATGGACGGACATTTTATGGTCACAGAAAATTTGAGATTCCACTTCTCTAGATTTGGAAATTTAGAATTATTTGGAAAAATTGGTACTTGTGGAGTGAATCGGTTGGTGGAGTTATGTACCGGAGAAGATACATGAAATTCGTCAGCATCGAGCTGTCGACTAAGTTCAGGATCAGCTTTAACAACAGCTTCCAAATGATCCAAAGCAGCTAAAACGTCAATGAGAAGTTCAGTCCTCTCAGACCGTTCTTCCGTTGACAAAATTATTAGTTTCACCCGCTCAAGCAAATGAACTTATCGTGACTGTGTGGAAATGAAATTGTTTTGACTTGCCTCACCTGATATGGTGGGAATAACACTATTAGCCTCATTGCCGAATTTGAGCCTTCTCGTCATCGAAATTGAGGAAATATGGGGCAGAAGAACATGCGCCAGACAATTTTAAAAGTGGTCGCAATATAGATCTTAATTCGTCCACAGTCTTGTTATCACTAACGGAGACACCTCGGACAATAATTTCATAGATGAGCATTTCCTTTTTAAGGTACGAGATAGTCATTTTGTAGTCCATTCTGTCTAGCAATCAATACGTTAAGTAATCAACAAGAACGATGAGGATAATCGGCTATTAAACACAGGGGTTCGAAATACCTGTTATTCCAAAAATAATAAAAAAAGTTTAAAGATAGAACTTGAAATTTGATTCTATGGACTTAAAATAGCCAAAAGAAAATAAATAAAAATAGTCTTTAAAAGAAATGGCGGCCCCACGTTGGGCGCCAATTAATTTGCCGGGAAATGAATCATCGAATTCGAGACTGTCCGGAGAGGCAACAGGGGAATCGGACATATGGAAAATGACAATCCTCAGGACAATCTCAAAATCCTAATGCTACGCATGTTGTTCAACCAATGCCAGTTGGTAATTCCTATATATCTTTTGATTTTTCTCTGGAAGATGATCATTGTAAGTCAAATTATAATTTAGTTGGGCTAATTGATTCCGGCAGTCCTATTAGTCTTAATAAGGCAAAATTTGTGCCAGTATATGATCACACAGATAATCAATATCATTTTACCGGAATCAATGGTTCACCTTCAACTATTTTGGGAACTTTTAAGACTGATATTTGTATTGATAATGTTTCTCTTTCTATTGGGTTTCTAAGTGTGCCAGATGGTACAAAGACCTATTCAGCGATTTTGTATTGACCAGTTGGGAAAGGTCAACGATGAAATTCGCTTAATCTTGGATTCTTTGTCTGAGGAAGATCATTCTAGTAACTATGTGCGATAAGGCTGAAAATAATAATGAAAAATTCGCAGATTACAATGAAAAATATGTGAAGATATCCATCCAAACCACCACAATCATGACGGGTGCACTACCTAGAAGTCTGATGCAATGGCCCAATCCTTGAAAACAAGCCGAGGTAGTCTTGGCTAGAGAGTCAACCGAGCTAGCAAGACTATTCCAAGGTACAAGAGCTTAATACATCCTATTATTTCGATTGCTGGAT